GTTGTTATGTATTATCACCGACCTGGTGATAACGCATAAATTTCGGTACACGAAATGTTTAATTATGTTTAATAGATTTTAGCGTTTTCAATATAAGGCCTAACGATACATTCCTCCAATGCATAAAAAAATACGATACCACACTCACCAATTCACCCTTCCCTTGCATGCAAAACACCAAGTGACCCACATTCAAAGAAAATTATTCAAGAATTATATCGCCCCAAAACTATTTGGCGGTTATTTTCAATGTAACAAAAAGTCTAAATATGCAGGCTTTTACAATACCGAGCTGTCTGTAACTTAATGGTATCTCTCCATCAGTAGATATCGTTAAAGGTGCTACTCTCGTATGTGGTTTGAGAGTGGTGGTGACCAGAACCCAAGGTGTAGATTTCCGTTGGAAGTGAATGGACGAGACCCCGAATCGTCACGTGAGCGACTTGACAGTCCCCTGATGGGTTTTAATACTTTTAATCCTTCCGGCGACTACGGCTTTTCCTGGTTCCCAATTCCGTGCTTAGTTTCTACAAACCCCAACTGACAGTGACTGGCGGCAAACCTTCAAAGAACTACGGTTGTTTCGCAAACCGCGAATTCACGTCCGATGCTTCCCAAACTGAATTAGGCAATAATTATTTCAAACTTTAAGGCCTACCGATTTTTTATTTTAAACGGCTTATGACGTTGTTAATAATTAAAACGAATTTAATTTCGTATTAAATACTATAGGTACTCGACATAATCGGTACGATGCGCACAGCAAAATTAAAATGTCCTTTCGAAAACCCACAAATGATTACAATATCCCCAAGGTCCCGCTATAATCTTGCAAACCAGTCTACCTATTTACGACAAACAATTTCAAGCTATACGAGGGGCATTCAAAAGATATACAAATTAGACATGATCTGTAACAAAGTTAATGGGGAAATAAGTCAGCTAAGGAGGCCACATGGGCCAATTGAAAAAAAATAAACGAGAAGATGTTCATAGCATGATAAAAGGATTAAGGGTGGAATGAAGAGAAGGAAAGAATAAATGGGGCAAGGAAAAAGAAGAACGATTAAGCAAAAACTCGAAGAAGAAAATGAGAGAAAAGAAGAAAAGAAAACGAACATATCGATTACAGGGAGTAGAGATGGAAAAAAGGAAAAGGAGAGAGAGAATGGAAGGAATGGTAAAGAAAAACTACAAGCAGAGGAAAACGTAAAAGAGGCGAGAACAATTGAAATAGGAGGAAATAACGTAATAATCGCGGAACTAACCTGAGAAAATAGAGGGAAATTGTAAGAGTAAGGCAAAAGTAAGGAATACATAGATTGACCGAACTGACTTATGAAGAAAGGAGGGTTTACAGAGGCGAAATTTAGAGAGATAGCGGAGAGAAAAAGAGGCAAGGGCAAGAAAATAAGATGGAGGTAATATAGGATATTAGTGGTGGATTTGATGTAAAAATACTGTGGAGTAACAAAGAAAAAGGATTAAGTGGAGAGATAGGAAGGGGAACAGGAGAGGGAAATGCGAGGGAGAACAGCAGAAGAAAGGGGGGAAAAGTGGAGTGGAAAAGGGAGGAGAAGTAACATGATGTTATTCTGGAGAAGCAAGTAAAGAAGTACAATTCTGGAGATTTGTGTAAGAGATACGATGGGTGGGGTTTGCGTTGCAACGTTGGATTGAAGAAAAGAAACTGAGAGAAAATAAAGTATTAGGTACCGAGTGAAAATACAGATGGCCAGAACCAATTCGCAAAAGGAAACGAAACATATTAAAAAAATAAATCAGAAAAATGTTGATAACAGTGCCGGCTGGTGTATAAGGGCTGCAGAGCTGCAGAACCACCAGAAAAATTAAAAAAATAAGCTTTATAGTTAAACCTATAATAGTCAAACAAAGCGCGACAAGCGCCGAAGTTAAAAGGTGGCATAGTTTCCCAGCACAGTAAACGATGAGTCTCCGCGCACAAGACTATATAAACTTAGCAGTGCGATACGAGAAGGTGCTGCGCTCCAAATTCAAGGTTTCTCCTCACCTCGCGGAGGTTATTTTTAGTGTGCAGCTTTAACGAGATTTTGAACTGTATCTGATGCAGCCCCAGCTCGGTTCTCGGTGAGAATTGTTACTTGTGGATCAATTTTAAAGTTTTCGCGTATTGTTATACGAGTTTATACCTACCGATTTTTTTTGTTTATTTTAATATTCGCATTAGAAATTGATGTCATTCCTAGTTTATTAAATGTTAAAAAGTTTATAAACAACACCTACGAAAAAAAATTAAATTAAAACAAGACGGACGTCCATTTCCCCTATGTTTTCATTGAAAAAGAAGGCTCAAGTGATAAACAGTATATAAAGACAATTTAATCGCGAATTGTATGTACTTAAGAAACGAATCAATATGTGGGTGGCATAAGAAAAATGCTCTCTTCTCTTTCCCGTGTGCACTTTTTGGTGGAAATAAATCGTGTACACAAATTGGAGTCACCGATACTTAACACATTTGAGTCAAAAAATAAGGAAACATGCCGACTCTATTTACATAACACGCTTTACTAGGCACAGTAAATATAAGAGAACAACTAGATTCTGCCTATTGGGTAAATATAAAAAAAATTAAGGAAGAAATGGCAAAATCGGTGTGTTTTGTTTCCTCTATGGTTTTGTCTAACTAAAGTGATTGACTATATATAAATTTGTGGAATGTTTGAATTGGCACTGCGAGGACATGATGAGACGAGCGTCTCAGAGAATCCGGGAATTTTTCGGGGTTCAATAAATATTAGTGTAGAGCTTGCAGAACCTCTGTATTTGTAACACACGAGCCGCCACTGTATTTAATTATCCAATAAGTTGTCTCTGCAAATATCCACCCAAAAGGTCAGAGCTATGAAAGTTACATTTCTGTACTAGAAGCATCTAAGGCTAAAATTTCAAAAAATATTTCTATAAATAAGAAAGTTGATAGTGCGCAGCTTGCGCATGCGCACATTTATCGTCAAGATTTTTCTTGGCTTAGGTGCCAGAGCTATAAGTTACCGAATTTAAAATTCATAAATAGCGAACTACAGATATTTAAAATTGTAGGACGGCGAAAGTGGTAAAAAATGCGCTTAAAATGATTTATATCCCATTCAAATCCACTAGGCGAAAAAATTTGGGTGCTGGATTACTGAGTGCCTACGGTATCATTAACTTTGTATTTTTTGAAATGCGAAAGATGCATACTTTTATGTGCATTTAAAGAGTAGGCTGTGGTCTCTGTAAACAAAATCAAATGACACAAACATATTTGAAGTACCACAAAAATACAGCTCTCTCAATAAACAAACCAATAACCACTGATTTTATTAAACAATAACCAAACATCTTGAAAAGTATTTGGGTACAAAAACAAAACAATACAATAAAAAATTATTTATAGATTAATAATTTTATAAACAAATAGAAATGTAGAGATATTTCGGATAATAATCTGGTCCCACCTAGAAAACACCTATCCCCTCTGCTACTTTGTCCTAGTATCTAATCTTAAAAACATTGATGGTTATAGACATGCATGGTGAAAATAGTGAACATGAAGCATAATATCACATTTCTCTTCGTTAGAAAAGTACATTTTGTTTGTTGCCATAGAGACACACATTCTGTTCAAATGCTTGTATTGAAAATCATTAGTCTTTGAAGATCAAAAGCTACTCAAAAATGAAAAATCCAGGTCCGTATTTAAAGAATAAAGATCTTGGTATCTAAGAACCGGCACGTCGCCTCAGAAAAGTAAAATCATTTTCTTACATAGCTTAGAAAGCCGCCTTAAGAAAATACTTTTGGTTTTTCCAAATACGCAGTTTTAAAGCCGTAAAAAAAAATTGCTGTCGGTTTTTCCAAATAATCAATAGTAAAGCTGTCTCTGAAAGTAAGACGAACTCGTTTAACTACATTTTAACAAATAAATTATTCAGCATTAAAACACGTAACTTTGCCTCCATTTATCCAACTCTCTATCTCTTGTAGTTATAAAGTTAGCAATGTGAATGCGTCAAATTTGTAACACCTTGTATATTTATTTTTTTAGTTTATATGTGTATAATTACAGAAAATAATTAGTATACAAAAACAAGAAGATGCATTTGAGGATCAAATACTGACCTTACACCAAAGTTATCAATTATTCTAGTCGGTATTATCCATTATAGTTTAAATTATTGATAGTTTTAAATATTGATAGATATTTTTTTATTATCATACAGTAGTAGTAGCAAGTTAAAAAAATGGTTTTATTTTTCAAGAGATCTAATAATAAAAGCTTGTTTCTTCTCTTTGACCCTCAATTCTCTGCGATACATAATTTACCTATTCCTTATCAACTTATCATCGTTTGAAGAACATGATAAACTGAATAATAGATAATTTAATTATCTAATGGCTAGTGTAAAATTTGGTTTATTCAGTTTGATATTTCGATTTACCTTTAACTGTAAGTGTACGTAAACTTTCAAACACCCTGTAGTACAATATTTGAATATATTACATAAAAAACAAATGAATCCTAACACATAAATGGACCATGTTATAGGGGGACTATCTCGACAAAATTCAAAATTAAACAATTTTCTCAAAATTCAGACATCCAGGATGCCTTAAATACTTACATGTATTCTATAGTACCACAAAATGTATGAGTAACGATGCCTTCTTGAATATGCTCCTTACACAAGCCGAAATCTGTTAGTTTCACATGACCTTGAGCGTCTAATAGTATATTTTCTGGCTTAAGATCCCTATATATAATTCCTTGCATATGCAAATGTTCTAAAGCTAGTATTATTTCTGCCAAATAAAAGCTGCAAAAAAATAGGTAAGGCGGGAGTGTTGCATTACGCATGACTCACCAAGCAGTATCCTCCAAAAAAATACCTTCCCGCTCTAAATGCATAAATAACTCGCCGCCGCTTAAATACTCCAAAATTAAATAAAGTTTACCGCCCGTTTGAAATGCGTATTTTAAGTCGACTATAAACGGGTGCTAAAAACGATAAATTAGCGACATTGTAGTTTCTTCGGGCACCTACTTTGACTTCTTCTAAAATATTTCGTTCAGCCTTAGTGTGCGCCGTGTCTTTTTGATTTCTAACGATGGAAGCCTTGCGCAGCACTTTCATAGCAAATATTGTGCCAGCATCGGTTCCGTTCACTTTGCGAACTTGAAAAACCTTGCCATATCCGCCCTTTCCCAATACTTTAAGTAGTTCGAAATCCTGTGGGCCGGCTTTATCTTGGCCGGGATTCACATTTTGTTCAGTTAATTGTACTGTCTCCACGTCGTCAGTCCTAAAGATTTAATTGTTTACAAAATGAAATACGATCCTAAGCACTTACTCAATGATTTCATTTACATTGGGGTTTTGATCGTATCCACCCTGCAAACGATTATCATTATTGAAAACCACTCAACAAGATGAAATCTAAACAAACTTGTTTACTTCTAGGGTTTCCTAGAAGTTACCATAAGGTGAAATTCAAGTACAGTAATTCTAGTATTTGATGTATTTAATGCAGAAGTTTTTTGGAGCAAATGTTTGTTTAATTATTTATGTTAATTAAAAGGTTTGGGACACAATTTTACCTCTTGAATTTCAATAACATCATCGTCGTCTGAATCATCAACCTCAACAGCTTCAACGTCGTGCAATTCCAAATCAAAAACACCTGCCATTCTCCCTCGTTACCAGATCGCTAATTACATTTATGATAATTTAAAACACTGTTATTATTAAATATAAAATACGGTTTAGAATTTAATTTCCTGTAGCAAAAACACACCTCGTATGACAGACTTGAATTAGGTTATGTCCTTCTCCTTCAAGTTTGCCTTCACTTTAGGGATATTTTCGCTTGCGAATTCACCAGCCAATACCTACGATTCAAATAAGGATTTAGCGGGGAAATCTCGCGAAAGAAGCATGCGCTCGGCGCCACAAAGTTTTATTTTTATATGCAAAGTTGCAAACAACGCGTGCTGTGTTATGGTTGAAAGAACAAGTTTTGCAGACACGCTATTGTGAATTTGCTGTTTCACCTGCAAATTAAAAAAACCCATATTCACAATAATAATTATATGTTGGGAAATATTTAATTCAATTAGGAATAATTCAAAATTCAAATGCGGTTCTCTTCTAATTCAAACGAATAATAGGCAGCAAGACAGCTAAGTACGTGGGATATCTGATGTAACGAAAAAAAATAATTGTCTTGCTAAATAAAAACACCGCAACATAAAAAAATTTGAAAAATAGTTATGAGCGGAAATTTTCTCCTTGCGCCTACACCAAGGTGGATTTATTGGATTTATGAATCCACCTTGGCCTACACAATACAATTGCATATACAGAGTGTCCCACGACGACTGCCGGCTACTTAATTTTCGAAAATGAAATTTCGGGATATATGAAAGTAGAGTACGGTCTACGGTAGTCATAAATATTACTTCGCAAATACATATACAGTGCTTAAATTTAACTCTGGACATACAAATCTCCAATACTCAAATATTATACCCCTTAAGATATGAAATCAATGTTAATTTAATTTTTTTCAAATGTTTTTGATTTTCTGATTTTCGTTTTTAATTTTTTTATGATAAACTAATCGTAGTAGACATTCCTAATTAACACATTATTCAGACACTTTTTAATGGAGATTTCAAATATGGCATCCTGTTTTTAATAACTTTCAAGATGACGGAGAAACACGTGGCAACTATAGTGTTTCTTATGGGCGCCATTTTGAATTTTCACATTTTGAAATTGCGTTTTTTTTTCTATTTACAACGATATATCACACATGGTGGTTCAGTATCACATTTTTCCTAAAAATACAATTTTTAATTATTTGAGAAGAGTGCTTTGGAAAAAGAAAACGTTCTTTTGTTTTAAACAAAAGGTTGACTTATTTCATGTAGTGCCATTTAGGTTTATGTTAGTTGTATGCGAAAATGCCTTTTTCAAGTGCAGATCAAACAGATATGATCCAAATTTACTACACTTCTCATCGAAATGCCCACATGGCTGCTGCAACATACTTCCAGCGTTATCCAGAGCGGCAACAATCTAGTTTGAGGTATTTTTATTTGCTGCATAAAAACTTGAGCGAATATGGTTCTTTTAAAAGATGTAGACAGTAATTTTGCAAGCGGTAAAAATTTTGAAATTTTGACAATGAACATTACTGGTCAATTGAAAATTCTCATCTATTTCAAGAACGACGACCCCAAATACGTTTTAGCGTTAATGTATGGGTTCCTCTTCATCGTTTGAACTCGATATGGTTCCAGCAAGATGGCGCACCGCCCCATAATGCTAGGAGGGTTGGGGAATGCTTATCGGAATTGTTCCCCAATCATGTTATTGCTTATAATGGCGACGTGCGCTGGCCGGCGCGGTCACCTGACCTGTCTCCCTTGGAATATTTTTTGTGGGGCACAATGAAAAATGAAATTGACAATTTTCGTTTTTTTGCGATATCTTCAAAACTATTAAAGATATTTCAAATTTCTTTTCAGATTCTTATTCAGCACGAAAATTGGCAACTTTGCCCCCATTTAACCAACTTTCTATCTCTTAAGATAAGTGAGATCCCCATAGTGGCACTCGAAAAATGGACACCGTGTATAGTGAATTCATTCAGTGAAAAAATAATGTCGAATAACGCTTTACACACATATAAATGGCACTGTTATTATGTCGGCCCGTGTGGCACAGATCAGTGGAAGCTGGACTACGGTCCCTGGTTCGAATCTGGGATCGGACCTGTATATTTATAAATGTATGGTGGGTTGGGCATTGGTAGAGCAGCCATGGCTGAAACCCCGCCCACTCAAAAATAAAAGCCAAATAAATAAATATATAAATAAAATAAATAAAATAAAATAAAATAAAATAAATAAAATAAATAAAATAAATAAAATAAATAAAATAAATAAAATAAATAAAATAAATAAAATAAATAAAATAAATAAAATAAATAAAATGAAAATAAATAAATAAATAATAGAAGCCTCTCTCGAGACAGCTTTCTCCTTCTTCTTAAAAGTTGCGCGGTTACCAGCTTGCAAAGATGTCTCACTCGTCGTAGGTTATTGTATCATTGGGTACACGTTCACCCGACGCATACTTACTGTCGACTGTGTTGAGACATTGGCTTAAAGGCTGCTTTACACGACGTTAGTAACTTGTATGAGTTGCTAAAACCGAGTACTTGTTACTTGCGCCAGTAAATAGGATTGATTTTCTATTCACTCGACTTGCATTGGCACTCTACTCTAATAAAGAACTAAAATGGAAATGTACACGATACGAGAAGGGTCTACCCGGTTTTAGCAACTCGTGCGAGGGACGAGCGTCGTGTAAAAAAGCCTTTTCCTGAGCGATGAAAAGTGCGCAAATTCGGTGTGCTTTAAAATTAAAGGCAACTGAAATGATTGAAATGTACTGACAGAAAAAAAATAATGATACAATCTATAGAACTCATAAACACAACGGTCGTAGGGGACAACCAATTGTCGGCGGGAGACGGCGCCGGCGAAAGGACTGGACGGACTCGGGCGCCACCAAGCGAAAATCACGCGCCTGGTCGAGGTCGGCGGTAGCAATGGTCTGCGGGTCGATCTCGGTAGCCTCTGTCATAGACTCAATCGGAGAAGCGGTAGCTCCAGGAATTCTGCGGGTCACTTCGATAAAAGCCCAACCTGAGCCCAACCGATAAATTTTCAAATGAAAACAATAAGACTTAAATTATAATACAAAATGCAAATACTTAAAGGGCAGAAACAAAACTAAACGGATCGGTTAATAATGCAAAGGATGTAAAAGAGTTACAGAGCAATTAATTTCAAAAGCAGAAGAAATGACGGTACTTGTACCTACAAAACTTATTTGCGACACCGACCGTAAATATACAAAAGACCTACGGCAATTACAAATGGCAAAATCTCTACAAAATCAAGCGTTTACCTTATACAGAAATCCGGAGTTTTGGGAAATGGAATATGGAGTTTCCAGCTCCTCGCTGTATTCAATACAAACCCGAATAAAATTATCCATTTTTAATTAATTTCCTATACTCGGCCTGCAGTTACCGGTAAAAGATGGGACCACTTCCAACTGTCTTGAAAAAATACAGCGCATGCATCCAGACACGTTTGACGGTATTAGTCAATAGTTGCGTCGACTGAACGTACACATTGTATTATACATATAATGGTTAGTACCTATGTATATACAGGGTGGGACTTCTCTCACTCATTTATTATAAGTATTGCAGCCTAAATTTAATTATGTGATTTATCATTTACAATTAACTAACAATAAATTTATAACATACTTGAAATGGATTAATTTATAACAATAACTATTATTTGTTTGTCATGTCACTCACAATTTATAGGCTTATATGGCGAACAACAATCTCTCTAGAATATTCTCTAGTGCTCCCAAACGCTTCCGAACACGCACGTCATATTTCCCGGAAAGAAAGCGTCACATTCGCCTTAGTTTCTTATCGCCGAGGAGTAATCTTTTATGACGCCTCGATGTCGATCGGGATTTATTCTAGAATATTCACTACAATATTATATGATTAAGAACAATTTAAATGGGTAGGTATATTGCCGTGTTGTCGTCCGCAATATCTTTAATGAAATTCTTAAATGGTTAAAGATAGGCAGATGATGTTGGGCATCCGTTGTGAAACAAATGCGCGCGATTGTGGTGTCAGAAAAAAAACTCCATAAATGTGAGTGATTGAGACGAGGTTTTCCGTCTCTTTCTCACTTTGGATTGTAATGTAAATGATCGTAAGGGTCCCCTCAGCCGGCACTGCAATTTTGATGTACAAGTTGGCAACTCTGGAAAAAAATCACGAGCCGACGAAAAGACGGATGTTTCGCGACCACGAATTTATAAATTATTCGCGGCACTTTTGAATTTCGGTAGCAGTGGGCCAGGACCACACTAGGACCGGGTGGCACGATGGGTCCTACGTTGTGTAATCGGTTATTTTATGTGTTGGGACGTGAGACATAATGCGGAAGGGAATTAAATAAAATGCAGAATTTTGTGCGTAAGAAAAGACAAGAACAAATAATAGTACTTTACGAAACGGTGCAATCTAAGTGGGCCCACGAGTATATTTTTTACTCGTATATTTACCCCTTTCCCTTATAATACAGTTCAACGCAAATTCAAATTCTAGCGCGCTTGCAATTGCACAGTGCAGAGCACAGAGTTGTATATACAACTCTGTGGTGCAGAGTCACCGAAGGGAGTCACGGTGCAACAGAGCAGATGTGCGTTCGGTTTCGAGCGCGGATCGATTTTTTTGCTCTAAATCGTTCGGAAACTACCTCTAGGATCAGATGCGCATCGTTCGATAACTAGATCTAGAGCAGAAAGATCGCGCTCCGTTTGCTCCGATATTTTTGAGCGAGCTCACGTATTTCAAACAGCTGATTGAAGGAAGTAGGGTTAGAATAAGTTATTTTGTTTTGAACGTACGTGGTATGAAAAATGAAATTAGGCATTACGAATAACTGATAGATGAAAATTTGTTAAAGGTGGCGAAAACGAGCTTTTCGCGTAATGGTCACTCCCTAATTGTCTAACTACCTTTGTAAATGCTCGTTAAAAATTCCTTATCCGGAAGTTGAAGCGTAATCTCTTCCCCATTATTAATTTTCAGTTTAATATCTCCCATTTTTAAATGAAGAGGTGTAATGAAAAAAGAAACAAAAAGTAACCTAACCTTAAACTTTGATTACGTTTCCATACACCGCTAAATATGCAGAAAGCGTTCGTTTACTCGCAGACGAATCTGAAATATCTAAACGGATCCCGCTCCACTCCGCGAGCTCGAAACCGAACGTACCATGATCATGTGCGAACTGAGTTGACATTTCCGGCATTTCACCATATATATATGGATAAGGGATAACCGCCTATGATTGCAATGTGCAAATTGTTCGCCATAAAAGAGAGCTGCCCTATTCCTTAGTCCTGAACTCTGTATTTATGCGCAAACTCCCCAAGTAAATATTTACTTCTCTCCGCCTACTTTTAAGTAGCGCCAATTTCAAATTTCATAACCTATAACTCGAAAATAGGGTTAAAATTTTATTAAACCATTATTGTGTGCAATTACCATATGTAAACACAACCACGCACCATTCGGAAACTTCACCCAGACTTCTATTCGCTTCATGCAGGTTCATATTCACCACATTGGCCCCATTCCACCTGCCGACTCCTATCACTATTGTCTGATCCTGTGATGTCTTTAGATAAGTATACTAGCTGGCCGAGGCCCACCCTCCCAAGACCAATCGCCGCCGAAGCGTTTCTTACCTGTTGACTATATCGCTTCGATTCCCCTACTAGCATCTTCACCGATCAGCGACGACAATTTGAATCTTCCCTTTTTTGTGCCCTCAACATTGTTTTCGGCACACAAGGATTCGGGACCTGCAGTCAATGGCCTACTTGAATGATTTCACTGCCAACTCAAATCAGCGCTCACGTGCCACCCAGTGTGTTCTGGTTCAAGGTACTCCGTATCGTTCTGCTTGGAAACTGTAGCATTTTCAAGGAGAACTTTCGAGCTTCCTCAGCGGAGTTTGTTTACGGTTACACCCTTCAACTTCGAAGGCAAACTTTGTAACGATTTAGAAACTTAAATTGCAATTGAAATAATATACCTATAGGGATTATATCTTGAATATAACTTGAAATTGGATAAGTTCGCATCAGCTATAATATAAAGTGATACATTACCAATGTTCAAAGAAACACAATTAAATTAAAGACATTTACTGATTTTAAAATAAAATTAACATTGTCGAGTTGGAAATCTTTTAGGTGTTAAGTGACCCCCATATAACTTCGTGCCCCCATCATGCTTGCGTGCATCCAAATCAATGCAGTCATAGCGGTTAAAATGACGAGAACACAACCTTGTTTTTACATCATCGAATTCCGATAGTTCACATGCTTGCAGTCACCGATTCTTGTTGCTTTTTTCACTTGGGAATCTAATAACAAGTACCAATGGCATAAATGAATTGATTGCAGATAATTGCATTGTAACTTACTTGTGCCATGAAACCGAAGAATCCACTTTCCCCACAAGTACCTGCATTTCTTTATTTCTAAGTAATGAACACACTAAAATTGCCAAACATTAGGTATTCCTTTACAATTATTGTGTATCACTTACGTATACTGATTTATATAACTATGAAAGGCTTCTTTACTATTAAAATTAAACAAAAGTTCAATAACTCATAAACAAAACAAACAATTTAACCTCAATCCGTTATGTCAAACTGGAGTAAATGCTTGGTAAATAACACTACATAATAACAGGCAAGCGCATTAGCGCCTAGTTCCCAACTAATGACAGAAGTATATTTCCATCCACTAACGTTGGCGATAGGCGTGTCCACTCGTTTATCCATATACTTCTCTTATATATATGTATTTCACTGGCGCGTGATTATCATTATTTCCTTAGAAAATAACGGGATTTAAGGGGTTGTAATTAATACCAGGCGCATTTGAAATTTTTACTGGTCTTGTGTATTAACAAATGTGTTTTAAAATTGAATGTGTGTTTTCAGGGACAAAATCACACCGGTTACATTTTAAATCCTTCGCAGTATCCATGTCTTGTCAAATGTTACATGCTTTTAACACTGGATTTATGCTTGGCGACGAAAGCGCAATGGGCACACTTTAAATCCTTGATGATCTTGTATTTTAAAAAAACGTGTTTTATAAATAGATTTATTCATTCCTTACAGTCACACTGGACACATTTTAACTTCGGGGTAGTCTCGTATCACGTATGTTAAAATGCTAGGTACTTATTACGGATAAGCGGTCTTCTACTTACAGTGCAAAGTGCATCTTGGTGTTAAATGTATTGACACAGATGCTCGTTATTGAAAGTAAATGGGAGATTATGACTAGTTTGAAACGTTTGAATTGGTCACGTGATATTGGGAAAGTATTCAAATTCACGAAACATTGTATTATAGGTTCGCGGTAATTAAATAAATCCTTGAATTCAGTAAAATAAAGTGAACATAGGGTAAATTTAATTGTTAAATCAGTGTTGACGATTTTATGTTTCTTATTTAATTAAAAAGAAATAACTTCTTTGACATTTTATTACAACCGCGCCATCTAGCTTACATAAGGCGTATTTTTTTTCTCGCCTAGCCGACAAAATTGAATTGCGAATATCAGTATTTTACGCAAAATGTAAATAACAACTCGTGACATTAAATTCAATGGTTAATAGATTTTTTATTCAATGTTAAGAGTTAGTACAAGAAAGTAACCAACGTTTACCTCGTTGCCGTTACCGACGCTAACTTTCTCCCCAAACTTCGTTATGAAAATTCCCGGTCTTCTTCGACATCTGCGCAGAATGGTCCAAATCTAAAACGAGCAGTGCAGTATACAAACCGTACCTATTGTATTTTTGTTTCAGAAGTCAAGGCGTGTTGCCTGACTGTAGGGGTAGGTTACCACAGGATCGACTATGATATTGCTTCACAATTTTATTTAGCCGGTTCCAATTGCTATGTTGGTGTACCGCCTGCAAAACTTGCTGGGAGTGTTCACTTATGTCGCACTTTATTTTGCAAGGGGTAGATATAGATGAACTGTTACAATAAACTAAACCTCTTAAAAAAATAGACAGCGTTGCTGGCTCTATATACAGGGTAGAACAGTTCAATGTTGTTTATGTAGACGCATATAGTGTAAGAATAGAAGTAATTCCTTATAAATTTCACTGGTATTTAAAGCATGGCTAATATTTCCTACACTTAACCGTTATCTTTGATTAAACATACTTTCCTATTCGAGATATCATAATATGTAGTATGTGTCACACAAATAATTAAGCTTACTCTTTTATATTGCATATCATGCCCTAAGTACACCTGTCCTATTAAGTATATACCTTCTGCTAAAATGTAATAAAAACAGTTAAAATGTTTATTTTCTATTTACATTTAAAATATTGCTCTCTATATTACTTTCACTATTTTCATTTGTCACTACATTGCCCCAACGCTTCTTGCTAATTAAAAACATCATCATAAGTAGTGGTAAATGAATAAGCGAATATCGGAACAACTTCCTTGACGATGCACTAGAACTATCACTATAAAATTTGTATGCTAAAATGACAAATCGTTAAAACAAATCAATTGCATTACTGACTTACCTAAATAAACGAAATATAAATTAATAGGTGCACTAGAAAATACGAACCACCATTTCGTGATATCTAAAATTGGAGCTAAAGCACACATTCCAGTTATGGCAAGTGTATGTCTTAGTGCGACTCGACGGCATAAACCGGGATTTGTTACAGCCATCATGCGGTATCCAGCTCTTGAATAATCAGGTCTTAAGTTCCAAGACAGAGCGTTGAAGTGTGGAAATTGCCAACTGTATAGAAGTGCTGACATCAACCATGCACCGGGCCCGAGAGAATTTGCACATGCAGCCCATCCCATTAAAGGTGGAATAGCACCAACTAAAAACAGTGTTACTGCCTGTCTTTCGTATATTTTTGTAAACTTGAATCTAACCTATGGATCCAACCCAGGTATTTAAAATACTGATTCGTTTTAACGGTGTATAAATTGCGGTATAAAGTAACAAATTGGACAGTCCCAGGAATGCGGTTAATCCATTCACGCCATAATTGAGAATTCCCAAGCCTAAGGTACTGGATACAGCTGCAAATGTCATGGCATGTAGTGGCCTACAAATCCAATTGTTAATTGATGGAACAGTTACATATTGATATAGAACGCACGTTAATCGTCCACAGACTAATATCCTATGTTTAGTGCGTGACATTTGTGAATCGAAAGGAACTTCATGAAATTGGTTGACAGTGTTTGCTGCACAAGACATTAATCCAGTTCCAGCTACACATAGCGTAAAGGTAGTCCAGTCAAACGGGCTAGGAGCCATCGTATAACCGGCCATGGAGGTAACAACGACAAGTGCTAAAACAACACCAAACAATGAGCATATTATAAAAATTGTCAATAAGGCACCTGTAAGACGAATTTTCGACAGCTTCATATAATGTTGAATTAAGTTTGATCTATCCGTTGATGGCGTTGGTCGCCATCCTGGTAACACTGACGGTTTTAATTCCAACTGTTTTACTAATTGAGGATCGATCTCTATGGAGGTTGCCACAGCAGCTTTCGATTTCGACTGATTAACACATCGAGCGGGCGGTATTGCAAAATTAACATGTTTCTACATGAATGCAAAGTTGCGGTAAATTCAAAGAACGCATTGGTTACAAACCTCAAATATGTAGTTTGTTCTTGGGCAGTAATTATAGCTGGCAATAAAACCATGCTTACATAACAACCTACTTGTATGTACAAATTTGATCATAATGGGTAATCAAATTAAAACTTGTAGGTTTATACATGTTTCGATTTCCTATAAGCAACCCATTTAATCATATTAATTAAGTACTTTCGAAAAACTCGATATGATTAAAGTATTTCAATTTCGGTCAAAATTTGAGGTTATATTTAAAAGGGTAAATCATAGTTCATTTGTACCAATGTGACAGGGGTGTTGAAAATGGACTATTTAGTGACACCAACACTAATTCTTGTAGAATCAAAACATTCTCATTTCTTCTAATATTTATATTTCTATTTTTCATTTTTCACAATACAAGAATGCATACCATAGAACATTATAGGGCTTTTTTCCGCTACACATTTGCATTCGAATTACGTATTTTTTTTTTGGATTATGAAAATAATTTAAATACAAGTGGAAGTACATACTTGCACGAATATGCTCCTCTTCAGTTACAAATACTAACTTAACATTTGAGCAAATATATCCTTGCATTTATAGGTTAGGAATTTGTGATCAGTAAACAAATCACAAAACTTTTATGTTCAGTTGTTCACGATTTTAGCAATCATGATCATAAAAGATCACACTTCGAAAGAGTTTTATAAGCATTTTAGCGGACGCACACGTTTAAAGGCGGGTTTAGGCTCGTACGCAGAATGCACACGTTGCAGAAGTGAGTGGAAATTTCAGCTGCAGAAGTACGCCCCCGTGTGTACTAGTGATCTATCTGTTTATGTTGGTACGCAGTTGTTCTCAGTGTTCAAGTGTCGAAATTGACATTTAAAACCTAACCTCTTTTGGTCGTTAAATAACGTGGTTGGTTAAGTGAATAGAAAAAACAGATTTTTGATTTATTTCTGCAATGGCAGACAAGAAGAGAATTAAATTAAAGAAAATACTGTTACTAACGGCGTTAAGTAATGAGTTGGGGCTCTTGCATACTCAAAGGAGGGTACGACGGTGGGCAGTAAGACCTGTTAACAAATATAGGAGAAAATTTGGAAGGTTTCTAAATGTTTTTCAAGTAATGGTGACAAAGGATCAAGAAGAGCTGTACGCCCGACTACAAACAACTGCGTACAAAGTTTAAATTCTGCGAACTTCTGCGTCTCCTACAGACAAGCATATTTGCGGCAACCTACGTTTTGTATTTGTGCGTTCAAGCATAAACAAGGCCGTATATCAACATGGTCTCGAACTAACTGCGGCTGCGACTTTCTGCAGCAGCGCCGTTCTGCGTACGAGCCTAAACCCGCCTTAAAACTTAACGAACTTGACGTTGCGATGTTGTATGATCCAGGGGCGGAGCAATCAGTAGCTGGAAGAAGTATCTGGGAGAAGTTGGGAAAGCCGAAACTTAAACCGACGCTCGACCTGGTGGTTTATTCACATTTACCTATTGACAGGTTGGGTACAGCGCACGTACGCGTAGCAGCATTTGGANATATACAGGGTGATTCCTATAGTACCTGCCACCGTTTGGGAGCGTGTAGGTGGTGTGTAGGGGAGTATTTTGATATAGGACACTTGGGGTCGGAAATCTAAAATAAGGGTGCCAGAGCCAAATTTACCTTCTGGAATTTCGCGCCTGTAGGTAGGCAACCCAACCGGCCGGCGGTGCACACGGAGCGATCTCAGGCGGCGATGTGTGGGTGACACTTGATCAGAATTTTGTTTAAACCCACGAAATCCCGTCTGCAACGACGCGTATCAAGTGAATAAACACTATGGCAATAGTATAATAATAGTTGGCTAGATGTAGGAAGTGCATTGAGAACAACGGTGGCCACGTTGAACACTTGTAATAGTACATTATATATCAAGGTAGAGAAGTCCACTATTATTGCCTGAGCACCAAGATTACATCTCGAGGCGCTTGCGCCGAGGGGTGTAAGGTGCGAAGTAATAGACTTCTCTACCGTGGTATATATACTATTTTTTTCACTACTAGCACTTGAAATCCTCTAAATTAACATATTATATTGATAAGAGAGTTAACGGTTAGACAGAATTGTTTGTTTCTTAATTTAACATGTCAATCAAGTACGTGGAAGTACAAGTCAAACAGGCCGTATTTTGTTCTGTCATTGAGATTTTTCAAAGAGTAATTTCGTTCGAATTTTTTCAAAATGTGATAATTTTAGGTATGTGATTTCTCTGGAAATTGCGAATGGTGGCAATTATTCGTTTTAAAGAACTTGTCTAAACGTTCATGGAGCGAAATTTCGGGTTGTGTTTTCTAAAAGTGACAGCGTGACAGTTCTCATTATTGACTACAAGTTAATAATAAAAAATTATTAACCACTTTGAACAAATGCCGAGAAAGCCTACTTTACAAGTGGAAAAAAGGTTAATAATCATGTCATCAGACGCTAGTAGTGAAAAAACGTTATTGCTTTTGACTGTCGTTTTCCCTCCTTCCCTCCCATGTCGCTTCCTCGCGCTAACTCGCTCTGCATCGCTCCGCGCGAAACGTCGGTCGGTTGGGTTGCCTACATACAGGCGTGAAATTCCAGTGGCAATTAATAAAGCAAGTATTACCAGAAACTTTCTGTGTAAACAGAGAGATAAAGAAAATTTGGTTCTGGCGCCCTTATTTTGGATTTCCGACCCCAAGTGTCCTATATGAAAAGACTTCCCCTAGGCACCCCCTATACGCTCCCAAACGGTGGCAGGTACTATAGGAATCACCCTGTATGTTTATGGAGCATGAAAGATGTTTTAAATAAAAATCAAGGACGTAAAAAAAATGTGGAAAAAAATCGGACTCGTTTAGCGTATACTGCACTGCGTCCAAGATAGGGATCTCGGAAACCATACAAGATGGTCAAATATGGGAAAAGTTGCGTAATTAAAGAATTATATCATGCTGTAAAAAAACCAGAAAATTCCGATTGAAAAACCAATATTTTCCGATTTGATATTTCGTAAAAAAAAACTGGAATTGAGTAGCATTTTTTAATTACGAATAAAACGATGTATGGCACAAAAAAAAATAAAATTTGCCAACTCTGTTGGTTTCAACACGATTGTGCACCCGCGCACAATCTCTTAATTGTGTGAGGGAACCTATAGAATACATGTCCTGGAAAAAGAGGAGGCTAGATGGGATTCATAGGATGGATAGAGTATAAAATGGAAGGGAATGTAATGTATGGAGGAAGGCACTTAAAGAAGGAACGAAGACGATGACACTAGAATTTTTTTCCGGAAATCTGTTAACAAGTAAAAATACAAGAAGCATGTAAAATAAATAGATGGCGGAAAAGTAAGTACCTACAGGCGAAAAACGCCTTCTATTTAGTTACTCGTTAAAAGCGAAACTCGCGAAATTATTGACGATTTTGAATCCGGCACAACTGTGCTTCACGTTCCTCACAATTTATTAGTTTCAATTTAGCTTTATGGTAAGTATGAAAATGTTCAATATCACCCTTATAACTTTTGGGTCTGTCGCAGCAGAAAGTACAAATTAATCGCCTTTAACTTTTTTAGCGGTTGCCGTTATGTTTATAATTCTATTAGCATATCGTATAAACAATTTAAGTGTACAACTTTGATTAAGAAACTGAATTTTCAACGTAACTAGCCACTCTAAAAAAGAGCGCAACGAAGAGTACGTAGGTACCGCACATCAAACATATATTGAAACATGGTCGTGGTTGTAGTTACTTGCGGTTGCTTTTGGTTCTCGGTTAATTATAAACAAAAAATTTCGAGGAAATCGACCGTATCCGTGGTAGGTTTTTTCGATTTATGGTACGCACTACAAGTACCCACACCTTAGACTCCAACGCTTTCGTGGTAAACAAGACTATAATTTAGTCAAAAAATGATGGCACAAACCTTCGGTTGCATGGCTAACGAGTCTTTTACACACGCTAGTTTACGACTCTCGGTGGGAACTTTCACTAAACAATGAAATTTTACGTGATCTCAAAAATGACGCGCACGACTCACAATATTCGCTTTGAACGCTTGGCGAAGAATATTGTTTTACGCGATCTAAAAGTGCAGCGCTTGATAGGCTATCTTCGAAAGTTTTTAGTAAGGATTCCGCTCTCCATCAGATTTTTATTTTTGCCGAATCCCAAATACGAAACGGGCCCACTTCAAAACAAGCATTCATTTTGTTTTTATACATGAGTAGAGCAAAGGCACTTTCCGCCATCTTGGATTTTGTGACGTCACAAGCTCATGACCTTGGGTTTCCCCACGGTTATGTGACGTCGAATGGTCTTGGACTTTTCCCGAAATTTCCCAAGGTCATGGCCCTGGTGCTTTCCAAAGTCATGGTCCTTGGATTTCCCTAGGTCATGGCCCTGGGGTTTCCCAAGGTTATGTCCCTGGGATTTCCTAAGATCATTGCGCTGGAATTTCCCAAGGACATGACCCTGGGATTCCCCTAAAGTCATAACGCTGGGATTTTGCAAAGTCCGAGGCGGAGCTTCTGGGCCAAGGTTATGGCCTTAAGTTTACGACTTTGCCCCAAGGTCGTGACCATGGGATTTCCCCTGATTACGTCACAAAGTTGCGGTCTTGGGATTTTCGCCTTTTGCGTAGCTAAGGAGTGACCGTGTTTGTTGTGCAAGGTCGTGGCATTGGTACCGTAACCAAGCCTGGAGCTTATTGTAATCTCTGAGATGAGTGCGTACAATGCAAAACCAAAGCGTGCCATAGTAAATAAGGTGATCAGCAAAAGGTGCTGTATTGCAAAAAACCTAAACTGTTCTTAAAAAATTACAAATTATGCATTTTTACAAAGAAGGGGAACCAAAATCACACATAAGCAGTGATGTACAGTTACCACCATACTGGCGTAACTTGAAGAGTAAGATGATGGCGAAGCTGTTAAAACTGGTAGTAATAATATGTGCCTACGCGCGCGCACCGGAACAGCCGCAAACTGACTTAAATTAGAAAGCTAATTCGCATTCTAAAACAACAGGCCTCGGGGTTTTCCTTAAGGTCATGACCTGTGACTTTGGTCTCGGGTTTTCCCAAGGTCGGGACCTTGGTCTTTGGCTACGGGTTTTCCCGAAGGTGTTGGTCTTGGACTTTAACCTCACGTTTTTCCCAAGGTCGTTGACCTACGAGTTTGTCACACCTTGATTTATGACATTGGGTTTTCCTTGATTTTGAAACTACTTAAACATGTAAAAAGACCTGCTAGAAAAAG